CCTGGGGGTAAATACATCAGCCCTAATTCCTGGGGGTAAATACACCACACTAATGGCCTGGGCGTAAATACACCAGCCTGTCCATCAGGATTGGTATATTTACCCCTGTCCAACAGGAATGGTGTATTTACCCCCGTCCAACAGGAATGGTGTATTCACCCCTGTCCATCAGGATTGGTATATTTACCCCTGTCCAACAGGAATGGTGTATTTACCCTTGTCCATCAGGATTGGTGTATTTACCCATCCGTCAGAGTTGGTATAGTTACCTCCACAGCATCAGAAGGTGTGTATTTACCATCAGGAAGCTCCACTTAGAATTCTTTCACTGATCGTTCCTTTTAATATTTCATCGAATTTCTGGATGAGGTGATCTTGAGTTCTGGGACTGGCCAAGATGTTCTCACCTACTCTGTGTACCCAGTGCTTTCTTTGATGATCGGATTTGCTGAAGGCTTGAATCCATGGAGAACAGGCCCGTGAGGTAGATCCTGGCACCCATCACTGGGCAGATTGGCGACTTAGAATAGTAGCCATTGAGATGTTGTTGGACAGAGTAACAAATGGTCTGGTTGGCATCATCACAGAGCTAACATGATGTCAGCCTCTGTGGTAGGTGTGGTAGGCGTGACATCATAATCTGCTGTGCCTGCAGCAGCTGGGGCCTACAATGTGCCCAGTCAGTACAAAGATGCCCTGTGTTCTTTTGAGGCCGAGATAGGCTACAGAATCTTCCAAGATGTTCAGAAGTGCGTGATGATTGGGGAAAATGTGGTAAGAGCATGGAACAGCCTATCACAAGGAGACATGTGGCATTGGTGCACTTAATGGAAAGCTAAACAAGCACATGGGGCTAGAAGGAGGAGTGGAAGACTAATGCTCATGGGGTGAGATGAGGTGGGATGAGAGGGGACACATGTTGAACGTTAATGTTGGCATGTCGGCAAATGGAAGAAAATGGAATTCAATCAGATAAGTGTGAGATGATGCACTTGGACAAGACAAACAAAGCAAGTGAATACATGATGAATGGTAGGACTCTGGGAAGCACCAACAATCAGAGGGACCTTAGTGTGCTTGTACAGCAGTCCCTTAATGCATTAGGAGGTGGGTGATGTTGTTGAGGAAGCATATGGTATACTTACCTTTATTAGCCGAGGCATAGAGTTTAAGCAGAGAGGTGATGCTGGAATTGTATGAAATATTTGTTAGGCCACAGCTAGAGTATTGTATGCAGTTCTGGAATCCACATTATAGGAGGGATATGAAAACACTGAAGAGGGTGCAGAGGAGGTTTACCAGGATGTTGCCTGGGCGGAAGAGTTTCAGTTCTGAAGAGAGATTGAACTGACTGGGGTTGTTATCTTTGGAGCAGAGGAGAGTGAGACGTGACATGATTGAGATGTATTAAATTATGAGAGGCACAGATAGGGCAGACAGGCAGAAACTTCTGTATAGATTTAAGGTAATGGGCTGGAGGCTTAGAGGAGATGTGAGGAAAAATGGTTTTCACCCAGAGGGTGGTGGGAATCTGGAACTCACTGTCTGTGAGGGTGGTAGAGACAGAAACCCTCAAAATATTTAGGAAATCTTTATATTTGCACTTGCAATACCAAGGCATACAAGGCTGTGGGTCAAGTGTTGGAAAATTGGATTAGAATAGTCAGGTGGTTGCTTTTGACTGGAGCGAATGTGATTATTTTGTGATATAGACCTCTATGACTCTATGATGCATTGACCGATTGTGCCATGTGGATTGTTTCTGTTGAAACCATCTGCTGTAACTCAATCTGCCTTTTGTTTTAAAGGATATTCAGGTGGTCAGAGGACTCACACCTTGAAAAGGAACTCAATGATTCAACCTATGGAGAGACCCATGATTGGACCTACATTCCTGCTCCAAGAGTGGTTAAAAAACCCGACAACTATGAGTTGCAGAACCCAGTGCGCTCAGTATCACCGGAGATCCTGACTGAGAAGGAAGTAAGAAATGCCCTGATGGCCTGGTTGAGGCGAAAGGTACGCTATAAAAATGAATTGGCCCAGAAAATGGAGATCAAGGAGATTGTACCGTCAATAATATTTTACTATGTTCTCGACACTTTTATTGAGCAAAGGGCTTTGAAGTTCTCCTGTCAGCAAAAACCAATAATTGGAGCTGCACTCTCACCCAACAAGAAGTTAAAAGCCTGGGAGGTACAGTGTTTCCCAGTCAAATACTTTCAAGAAGAAACCAAGTACTTTCACATGCCTAACAGTGACAAGAAAGGAATGTGTATCAGCTGCTATGGCCGAGGCCTTGTCCTATGCGCAAGGTGCTGGGGTTCCGGTGAAATCACCTGTCGGAAAGTCTACTCTTCCAGGAGGGGTCGGATGTTGAGTCTGTGTGCAGAGTGCACAGCGAACAATACAGCCGACTGTGAGAGATGTGCAGCTGTTGGCCACATCCAGTGCCTCCGATGTGACGGCCAAGGTAAGGTCTGGTACTTCACCAACATGAAGGTGGAGTACCTGACCCAGCACCAGTACAAGATGATTGCTGAAGAGGACTTTCCCACCTCCGCCTTGCAGAAGGCCCACGGGATGGTTATACACGACCATACCGCAGAGTTAGTCACACCCATCAGCACTTGCAATGAGGAGGAAGTCAACTTGGCATCACAGCTCCTGGTGCAGGAATCACACTTTGCCTGGCCTGACTCCCGAATTCTCCAACAGAAACACAGTCTCACAGCTATCCCTGTCAATAAAGTGCTCTTCACCTGGGAGGATCTGAATGGTCGCTTCTGGATCTATGGGACCAAGCGGCAAATTTATTTCAAGAACTATCCTCTGAAGAAATCTTGCTGGCCCTGAGTGAGGAAGGGACCAATAAACCAGTGCCTAAAGTCTCTCACAAATGCAAAGGACAATGAAATCGGAAAATAAAAGGAAGTGCAAAGGGATATCAGTGTGACTGTGTCTTTGATGTGTCTGCTTTCTGATAGTAAAGGAAAACAGGGCACTGTGATAGGAGCTTGGGATGGATGATGTTAAAGCTGTCCAAACTGTGGCCCACTATAGTCCTCATACTTTGCTTTGCTACCTTTGAATTTTATTGGGTCACAGCTTTTAGAAAAGGATGCTCTGAATGGGAGGGTTTACAGGGGACTCCCAGGAGTGGGTCATGATTGGTAAGCAATCCTCGAGATGGCCAAGATCTGCAGGGCAATCCCAGAAATGTGTTGTTATTATTCACAGGAAATCCCAGGGCTACTTCAGGCCTGTTCATTGTTTCCCCAGCAACATGTCAGAGCCTGATCTATCAGTGGGCAAGATTTACATCAATCTATCCAGGAGCACAGGCCTAAGAATGATCGCAGCATTCAATGGAATTGAATCCAAGTACTGGTGTTTTTGTTAGTCTAGATAGACTACAGTGCACATATACATTCTTATAAAATGCATACAAAAGCAAGGTTTGCAACAGAGGGAGGGATAAATTCAAGGGAAAAGATAAATCATTGATAAAATTGTCCTGAAGATAGCTTTGTGCAAACGGTATTTTGTTTTTTACTATAGTTTCCTACCCAGTTACATGTCTCACAAAAGTGCAGTTCCTTACAGAAAGATTCGCTGTCTATATTGTACAGCTAATTAAACTGGCAACTCCTCCAAGTCACTCAGAGGAAGGATGAGAAGGTATTACCAAATATCTGCGTGGTTACCAGCTCAACAGAAGGCTGTTGTCTTGGTGACAATGGCCTGGACTTTCCAGTGGCAGTAATGGTGAAACTGACAGCATTGTCACATGGAAACTGAGGGCAATTTCAGGAAGCTGTACATGTGCAAATCCCGAGGATACTGTTAGTGATTGTACACCATCTACCAGAAGGGTGTGCAACTCAGGGCATTCAATTCATAGAATCCCTACAACAATCCCGCACTGACTCTATGAGAAGCATCCCACCCAGACTCAATACCCCTACCCTATCTCTGTAACCCTGCATTTCCCATGGCTAATCCACCTAACGTACACATCCCTGAACACTATGGCCAATCCACCCGAACCTACACATCACTGGACTGTGGGAGAAAACTGGAGCACCCAGAGGAACCCCATGCAGATATGGAGAGAATGTGCAAACTCCACACAGACAGTTGTCTGAGACTGGAATTGAACCCAGGTCCCTGGTGCTGTGAGGCACCAATGCTAACCACTGAGCCACCATGCCACCCCGAAGTGAACTGGCCGAAACTTCAACTCAGGTACTGTTAGTCTCAATCACAACAACAATGCAGAGTCATACAGCACAGTTAACTGAGTCAAACATGCCAAGGCACACAAAGTTTCACTATAAAAAATCTTTGAAAAGCTGTACCTTTTTGACTGACTGTATTAGTGGACTAAATGCATTGCCTTCCATTTCCAAAAGCAGGTCTACCTCGGGACCTCTACCATGGGGTAGGACAAGGAGGTAGCTCCTCACCCCAGGCAGAATGGGGAGCGAACTATGTGCTGCTGGCATCAATCTGATCCATACCAGCCCTCTAACCAACAAGTACCATGTCACCCCTTCCCCAAAGTTACTGTGGTAACATGGACTTTGACAAGCATGGTGTAGCTGGGAGATATAGCTTGTGACAGTAGGGGCTCCAATTTCTGTCCATCACCTAGCTGACCAGCAACCTCTCCCCCTCCCCCTCTTGCCATCAGCTACTGGAAGGATTTGCAATTTGATTCTCATTCTGTTAGTTGAGTGCACCCTCATATAAATGCACATTCATTTGTCATCAAGTCCTGGAGTGAGTCTCAAACCCCGAGGATTTAAATTAAAAACGAAAGGACCAAGTGGTTTTAAACTCCTGGTCTAATGTGTGTGAATGCTTCAATGTAATTGCTGGCATCAAAGCTACAGCTGTTGCTACCTGGACTTGTGATTGGGTAAAGGGGGCAACACCATCACAGAGCTCACTCACTCCCTGGGCAGCTTTCTTCTCTTTAATACAGCCCACAAAGTTCAGGTCAGTAACATGTTTTTCATAGAATCCGTATAGTGCAGAAAAAGACCATTTGGCCCATGAAATCTGCACTGACCCTCTGAAGAGCATCCCACCCAGATTCATCCCCTTAACCTTGCACCTACCATGGCTAATCCATCTAACCTGCACGTCATTGGATACAATTTGGCATAGCCAATCCAACTAGCCTACACATCTTTGGATGAGGAAACCAGAGCAATCCCACACAGAGACAGGGAGAATGTGCACCCTCCACACAGACAGTCACTTGAGGCTGGAATTGAACCTGGGACCCCGGTGCTGTGAGATAGCAGTGCTGCCCCCCACCAACAAGCTTCATTTCAGCTCTGCTTTAGTTTTCAATCCATATCAGATGGTGTGTCAATAATACAACCTGACTCCTAGGCTCCAGCTGCTTCCAAGAGCCCTCTCCAGTAATCGGAGAAAGCACCAGACTGAGAGTTAATAAAAACCTGCCCTCCAGCCCCTGCCCTTGGCTTAGCATTTCTCCTGAGCCTTGAGAGCATCCTGGAGTTAAAGACGGCCTGGGATGTCATACTGTCATTCTCCAGTGTTTGTATGTTTAGCCGATGAAGCCACGTTTTCGAATGTTTAAGCAGTTCATCACTTGTTTAGCATCAGTGCTACTAGCACAGTAAGTGCTGAAAAAACTTTTTATCCAAATCCTTAATGGGCCCCAGACCTGTTGTCCATATGTGGACAAGAATGACAGGTGCCTCACTCTCAAAATTACTCTCCCACAAAATATGCAAAAGAAAAGAAATAAACTTAAAAAACCTCCTTAAAAACATCCAAGCAGAGAGGTTGTGAGTGGGCGAAGAGAGGATTGCAGGTGAGAATGTTTAGATGAGGCAAGGGGAGCGTAAGCATAGGGAGCTGAGGAGCACAGATAATGCACCGTCCTGTTGTTAATGAGAGTGTTGAAGAGTTCTACAGGGACTTTCCTCCTGCTACAGGGGTCAGCCTGGCAGGTACAACTCCCAGAAAACACTGCAGGGCATCCATGCCAGCTGCTGACCTCACAATGGCATACATGTGTGAAGTGAATCACAATCAGACCTCCCCCAGCAACATCCCACAGATCATTGTGTTAACTCCTGGAAACCTACTCCTTAACAGTCTTGAAGCAGCATTTACCCAACCACTCACGATAGTTCCAGCCTGACCTGCTTCTCTTTCCAGTAAGAATGTTTAATTCTAATCTCGTGTACATGACTGGTTTAACTATGATGCTGTTGCTTTTGTTCTCTTCTGCTTTCTCCTTCTGTGAATGTTGTGTTAATTCAAGTGGCAGTGCTGTTGGTGAAGACATCACGTTGCATTTCAGTCATAAGAAATCTTTGATGGGGATGCAGCGTGGGCTATGATACAGAGTAATGCTCCCTCTACACACTCCTAGCAACTATTCTCAACACTTGACAACAGCATTCTCCTCCAACTTCTCTGCACTATTAGACATCTTGATGGGACTGCACTCACCCAATTCCAATCTCACCCATCTAATCATAGCCAAAGAGTCACCCTCAAAATTGTCCCTTCCAGTCCAGCACCAAATCTGCAATTGCACACAATCTTTCCTTGGCTCCTTTCTATCTCTGAACAATATATTGCCCCATTCCAAACAGTGTTGGACTGCTCTCTCTCAATACACTGCTCAATGACCAGAAATTTCCTCCAAATAGACATTGTAAAGATTGAAGTCATTGTCTTCGTTCCTGATGCAAATTCTGTTCCCGAGAAACTGCCTTCTATCCAGTCTCTCGACTGATTTGAAGATGAGGTTCCAAAGATGTCTCTGTGCCCTTATTAAGATTGTCTAATTCAACTCTGTCCCATTACCCAACTTTGACCCCCACTCCCACCCAGCTTCAACAGTCAGGTTTTGATGAAAGGCCTGAATCATTAACTCTATTTCCTTCTCCACAGATAGTGTCAAGCCTGCTGAGTGTTTCTTGTCTTAACCTGTAGTTAGATTCTGCTATTACACTGACTCCCAGTGGTAGAAGACCTGCATGTTGAAATTCTCATTCCCCTACCTACCCTGTAGTCTTATCAGTCTCCCTCTCGATAATCCCCTGCTCCATAATTCAATGTTCCTTTAACTCTAACAGCTTCAGCTTCCCTGAATTTATTTGATGGTTTGTCTCCAGTTCAAAGGCCCAAAGGTCTGGAAACAAAACCCATCGCCTCGGTACTTCCTTGAAAAAAATGATTAAATTTGACATTTACCCGAATGCTTCTGCAATATTTGATGTCGATTTGCATATTGCTCCTGCTGAGCACTTTGGAATGCTTTACTTCGTGAACAGCACGAGGTCAATACACTGACCCCATCAAATACTCCCAGGACAGGGACAGCACGGGGTTAGATGCAGAGTAAAACCTCTGTCTTCACAGTCCCCATCATCCTAAAGCAGGTCTGCACCAGTTTAATAAAGATGGCCAACTTCCCAGACTGGACCTTTCCCTGCTGGGGTGAGCCTAAGGGGCTGGAAACACATCTCAGGGCCAAATATAAGATCAAAGTTGTAAATTGTCTGGCTATGCCTCAGAAAGTGTATGAAGCAGAGTCCAAGGCTGTGAGTTGTGGAAGAAACTAACTGTATTGGTTTCAATTATTTGAATGAAATGACTGCTCCACCAGTAGTGGATTTCTGCATGCAGTCAAAACTCATTGAGGCAGTGCAGGGACTTTGATGTGATGCTGATTTTGAAGGCAATAATCACATTTATATCCAGGCCCAGACTTTTGTGCCTGGTTGGAAATGATTCCCCAGCACCTCCCTGGGATAAGGAGGGGTTGCGAGGGTATGGAGGATAAAGGCCGATTTCTG